AGCGAGCAGATGGAAGACCTCTCTCTCAGTCTCTGTCCCTCCCTCTCTCTGTGTAGCTCCTTGGAACAAAATACATCTCATAAAAAGCCTCCAGGTTTCATACCACTAGCAACAAAAAAACACAAATTGCGTAAGAAACTGTCAGGCACTTTGTTTTCTGTGATTTCGCTCTGGAAGAGCAGATCTGAATCGGCCTTGTCCGGTGCCCTCCCCTGCGTCTCACCTCTTAGTGTCTTCCTAACACTGCTTCCAGGAGCACCGGCCTCAGGATGGAGGCAGGTGCAGTGAGGAAGCTCAACCAGGGAACTTTCCGGAGCCTCCCAGCCCTTTGGAGACCTGGCCCCTAGGACACTGCTCTGTGCGTGGCCTGTGACTCACGGCGCAGCTCCAGTGCCGCCTACGTGGCCGCAATCCTGTGGCAAAACCTCAGCCCGAGGGGCTTTCAAGGGTCCCACAGGGGCGACGGCTGTGCTCAGCCGACTGAACTCTTGTTAGAGATGCACCTCCCAGTGTGGCAAACCCACGGTGGCTCCATGGTTCACTCGGACTGCAGTGCGTGGGAAGCCCTCTGTGCCACGTGCAGCGTAGCCATCACCCGACGTGACACAAGGAGTCCCCGTCCGTGCAGGCTGCGGCCTGGCTGCACCACGGCACGTTTCCTGTGCCCCGGGAGTCACCCAGCCTCATCGCCCTGGCGGCCCCCCCCCCAGGCCACACGGGGCACAGGGGGCACCCTAGGCAGGCACCCTTGGCCGCTCTGGCCGCAGGCTGGCTTCCGAGCGGTCGGGAACATCCATGGCGCCTCCTGGCCCAGCCGTCAGCAGATCTTGGCCGCCCCTGCCGCTGACAGGTTACGTCTGAGGATGCGGGACGGGGTGGGGGGTGGGGGTCCGAGGCGGGGAGAGGACCCTGTTCCCTGCAGCTCTGTGTGTTCCCGGCATCGCTCACCGCTCTGATCGATCGCTGGGAGACCAAGGCTCTGCAGGTGCACTGACTGCCAGCCCCGGCTCCCCGTCATGGTCTGTATCCCCCAGCCGGTCAAGGCCCTCAACCCACTCAGTGGTGACCCTCCGACCCAGCCAGTCTGGACGCCATGGCTGGTGCTCACGGGACTCCAGCCGGGAGCAGGCTGCAGTGCACTTCCCCGGGCCCCTGGGCACCCGACGGCACTGCACCCTGCGGTGACTTCAAGCTACTGGGGACGCCGGAGGCCGCGGGTGAGCTACGGAGCAGGGCTTAGGGCCGACAGCAGGAGTCTCCTGTCCCCCTCAGGCTCCTCTCTGGGAAGTAACTGACCGATGTCCTGGAGGAGGGGCGTGGCCAGAAAGTCCCCGTGCTCGGTGAGGTGGGCTGGACCTGGCTGGAAGCCGTTAGGTCCTGGTGACTCGGTGGGACCGTCCAAGCTGCTTGGACCCCAGAGTTCACTCGCACTTCCAAGGTCACGACCTCGAATGCGCAGCCTGACGCCAGCCTCTCTCGTGTTGTTAGAACAGGCGGATCCCAGGCATGGCTAGAGTGAGCGCAGCCGGGGCGCACTGTTCCCCTGGACCGATCACCTGTCCCAGGCGGCTCCTTTGGGAAACCCCTAAAAGCAGGCCGGGTGGGGGACGGGGGTGACACGAGCCGGCTCCGGGGCCCTGGGGCTGTCTCAGCTGGCCCACTGTGGGGTGAGCACGGCTCCCTCCGTGAGGGAGTCAGCCCTCCTGACTCCCCCAGATGCCGGAACCTGCCGAGTCCCAACCGAGCCCTGTCTGCATCCCTTGAGTGAACCAAGCCTGCACGGCCTGGGCACCGCACAGGCCACTCGGCCACGCCTTCTCACGCCGAGGTGGACGGCGACACCGGGCTCCAGCTGGCCTGTTCTTGGAGCTGGGGGCTCGTTTGCAAGAGACACGGCACTGGTAAGGATGAAAGACATCTGGGGCCTCCCGAACGCAAGCAGCTCTTCCGAAAGAGGCACCCGCTACCCGCTCAGTCTGTTGGCAGAGTTCTAGTCCTTTTGTTTTTGTTTTAAGATTTATTTATTTATTTGAAAGTCAGAGTTACACAGAGAGAGAAGGAGAGGCAGAGAGACAGAGACAGAGAGGTCTTCCATCTGCTGGTTCACTCCCCAGTTGCCCACAAAGGTCGGAGCTGTGCTGATCCGAAGCCAGGAGCCAGGAGCTTCCTCCAGGTCTCCCATGTGGTGCAGGGCCCAAGCACTTGGGCATCTTCCACTGCTTTCCCAGGCCACAGCAGAGAGCTGGATCAGAAGTGGAGCATCCGGGACCCAAACCAGTGTTCATATGGGATGCCGGCACTGCAGGCGGCGGCTTTACCTGCTGTGCCACAGCGCCGGCCCCGGCAGATTTCTGACTCTAATCTTATTCCCTCCCCCACTCACACATATTTCCCCAGCTTTGCTGTTTAATTGGCAAACCACCGTGCGCTCACACATGAAATTCCTATACCCATGAGAATGCGCGTCCTTTTTAAAGATTTTATTTATTCATTTGAGAGGGAGAGAGAGAGAGGGAGAGAGAGGTCCTCCACGTGTTGGTTCACTCCTCAGATGGCCAGGAGCGTCTTCCGGGTCTCCCATGCAGGAACTCGATTGTTGATGTTTATGGAACGGACGGCTGGATGGTGATTGGTGCCTGGGGACATCGGATGACCCCGGGCCGAAACTCGGAAGTGAGCTGTGTGTGGCAGCTCCGGCAGGCAGGCACACGCGGAGAGGAGCTGGCGGGCGCCAAGGCTCGCGCACTGCTCGGCACCCTCTGCCCGCCTCGCGCTTCTCTCCAAGACCCGTGCCCAGCTCCTGGAGTCGGCGCCGCTGTGGCTCTGGGGATCACGACTGCGCGCGGTTTTAGGCAGCCACAGACCCGAGATTTCTTTCTCCGTGTTCCTGGAAGCGTCTGGAAATACTAACAAGTATTCCCAAGTGGAATGCGTTCAGGGAAAACACTGCACGCCCACTCACAGGGCCTCCTTCTGTTTTGTTTGTTTGTTTCATTAAGTTTCTTTACAAACTGTCTCTGGGCCATTAGTGCAGGAGCTGTATCCATCTTTCAAAGGGACTACGTTATCCATGAAAGGAACCAAAACGTCCACATTCTTAAGCCACTGGTGTCGCTCCACGGAGAAGGAGGCAGCAAATCCAGATCCAAAATGCCGAGTCATCACCATCCGCAGGTTCAAAATGCCGAGTCATCCTCACCAGCAACCGCCACTGGTTGCCCACGGACAGCGGCAGAGTCTCCCCTGGGCCCTCTCACGCGGCTCCTGCCGATCATGGAGGCTGTGGCCTGCAGAGGCCTGGCCCAGCTGGCACGGCACTGTCTGCCGAGACAGCAGGAGGGAGGCGTGGCAGCACCACGGCCCCCGCTCCCTGCCCCCACGGCTTTGCCCCCAGGGTTCAGAAGAAACACAAAGCAGGCCGCGGGGTGGGTGCGACTCTCGCCTCCGCCGGGAATGGAATCAGTCCTCGTCCCGTCGTGCGCCCTCTATCCGCACTTCAGCTGCCCGAGAGGGGTTCATTTCAGACCTTGACTACGCTCTCAAGGACCAAGAGCCCCACCCTTTAAAAAACAAGATGGCTCAGGGGGAAGCGTCCGCTCCCATCCGCGAGTTGGCGAGATTTCTCACGACACCCCGTGCACCTTTCAGGCAAGCCTTGTCTTCCGGAACTTTCCATGGCGTATCCCTAGGTGAAAAGGACCCCGTCAAAGGGTCACTCAGGACAGCCCCTGAGGGTGTCCGAGCTGAGTGTCCGTTCACAGAACTCCAGGGGGCGGGGGCACCGGGGGCAGCATTGACTCCAAGCCCAATACCAGCAGCATGGCCAGCAACCAGGACACCCTGGCCAGTTCAGTTGTCTACTTCACCCGGTTGCTAAGTTATGCTTCTATAATCTAAGTCTTTCCATCTAGATGCAAGGGTAGAGCAATCGGACAGGAAACGCCGAACCCAACCTGTATTCTGAGAGCGGGGCCTGCCGATCTGCCACAGGGACCCCCCCCCTTCCATCAGGAGCCCAGCGCAGCACACAGGACGGACGCCCCCTGGCCAGGACATCAGCAGCAAAGCCCAGCAGGGCAGACACGGCAAGTCTGCCTCCTCCTGCAGGCATCCAGAGTTTTCAGGCATGGAGGAGGCACCGCCCGGGGGCGCCGGCTGCACCTCTGAGCAAGGCAACAGGACCCAAGGAGGGAGCCAGTGGGAGCGAAGTGAATCCCACGCAGAGACCTCCCACCCGGAGAGGCACTTAGGAGTCTCAGCTGTCAACCAGCCGAGATAACGGAACCCCGCCTCCCACCGCACGCCCTCGCCTTCCCTCCCAGACAGCTCAAGTCTCTGCTCACGGGCAGGAAGTCAGCTCCCTGCTTCCCGGGAGAGACCCCCGGGCAGAGCAGACGGACAAACCACCAACGAAGCCAAAGAAACGGAACTCGGTTTTCTCGTGAAAGTGCTTCGGCTTAGCTGTCGGTGTGCGTGACGCCGACCAGCGTAGACTCCTCTGGGCCCTGCCCCACCTCTGCTGCTGCAGGGTGGGGGTGGGGCCTGGGGTCCTGCAGTCAGGCCACCTGCTACCCCCACCCGGGCAAAGTCTGATCAGAGGTAGTTTGTCCACCTCTCCCACAGCAATACCACAAGGGTACTGGGTGCACAAGAGGGGGTCTCCTTCCTCCTGCACCCCGACAGAACTTCACATTCGGAAGGCGGAGCCCAGAGGTCCCCGGGGGGGGGCCTGCTGCTCTGTTCCCCACTCAGAATGGGGAGGCCCCTGCTGCTCCTCCGGCCGTCACATCCCGCCTCCCCGTCCCACTGAGCCGGCCGGTCCAACACGCTCTCACACTAAGGACACAGAAGCTTCCTGCAAGCTAACCGGGGTTCCAAACGCTATCCAGAGAGACAGCGAGGACATTAGTCAAGGCTTGCCTTTTTTTTTTTTGTTTTTGGTGGCACACCTGGGCCATTTGGCATCACCAGCCCCATAAAGCCTGAAGCCCAATTCACTGTTTTGGTTTAGAACAAGGTGATTTTTTTTATTATCATTTTTTTTCTTGGAAGTAGGAAAGATGAATCGGAAGCTTTAAAAAATCAAGAATCAAAATACAGTGACTCTGGAAGGCCTCAGCAGCAGGGAGCCAGGGTCCCCGGGCAGCGAGGGCGCCCGCCGCGGCCCAGGCCTGCAGCCCTTGAAGCGCCGGCTCCCCGGCTGCCCGGGGCCGGGCGCCTCATTTCCAGCGGTGCCTGACGAGGGAGGATTCGTCGTTGACCAGCTCGGGGTCCCGGGCGCCGTGCCGACACCGCAGCGGGAGCAGCAGCAGCGCGATGAGGGTGAGGAGGATGGCCCCGCACACGCTCATGAGCGCGTAGGAGATGATCCACAGGGTGGGCTCCTGCAGAGACTGGGCGGGGACGCAGCTGCTGGCCAAGTCGTCCGTCGAGAACGGCCCAGAGATTTCCGACACCGGAGCGCCCGCGATTTCTGGGGAGACAGGAGGGGAAGAAGCTAGAGCGGTGGAGTGAGCCGTGCACCTGCAGCCCGGGACGCTGACGGCCCCGGGCGGGCTTAGCAAACCACAGTGAGAGCGGCCAAGTGGGCACAGTGGGAGGTCTCTGTGGCTCTGCCATTCGGGGGGGTCTGGTCCCCAAGAACAGGTGTGGGAGTTGAGCCTGAGCTCCGGCAGGAAACAGCCACCAGCAAGCGCCTGCCAGCGCCCGGGAACACAGGATGCTGCCCTCACCTAGCTGGAGCCCCAGGTGCCCAGCGCCGCGGTCAGCAAGCGAGATCCAAGGGCCAAGTCCGCCCGCCGCCACTTCTGGGAAACCTTGGCTTCCGGGGACACAGCCGGATCCCTCCGGTCACGCGCTGCTGTGGCAGGGGCGGGACACGGCCCAGGCCGCTGCTCGCAGAGCCCAGAGCCCGGGTTCCCGGCCCCCAAGGGGGACGGTCAGCCGTCCCTGGCCTACAGCACGAAGTATTTAACAAACGCCGTGGGTGACTATGAACACCCTGCTTTCTGGCTACCAGGCGACACTGGTAGGGTAGAAAAATTTTAAGCAACTAAAAACCCGCTCATCGGTTCACCAGCTGCACAGAATCAGTGCTTGAGAGCGACCCTGTGCTCGCTCCGTCGGCGCCACAAAGTCGGCCCCGTGCTTGCTCCTCGATGCCACAAAGCCGGCCCCGTGCTTGCTCCGTCGACGCCGCAAAGCTGGCCCCGTGCTCGCTCCGTCGACGCCACAAAGCCGGCACAAAGTCCCAGCCGGGCTGGTCACTGCGCCTGCACTGCGCGCAGGACTCGCCGATCTTTGCACGTCGTTCGATGCTCAGCCACACTGCTTTGATGCCAAAGCACACAGGCCTGGACACATCCCCTGAGCTCGCCCGTCTCCCGTCTGCGGCCAGTGAGGCGGCTTCCGGCGGCGTCCTACTGTCGAAAGCTGGGTGAGAAACAGCTTTGTTTCCTACCCAGATCTTTGCTCGTAGTCTCGAGAAAGCTGCTGAGAGGAAAACCATGGGCCGAGCGAGGCTCACTTTCAAGTCCTGACAAACTCCCAAGAGGAGGACAGCACCTGCACCTGCCCCGGTGGCGCCCACTTCCTGCCGGCAGCGGCCCTCACCCTGGGCTGTGGCCCTCACCCTGGGACTGCGACCCTCACCCTGGGACTGCGGCCCTCACCCTGGGCTGTGGCCCTCACCCTGGACTGCGGCCCTCACCCTGGGACTGCGGCCCTCACCCTGGGCTGTGGCCCTCACCCTGGGCTGCGGCCCTAATCCTGGGCTGTGGCCCTCACCCTGGGACTCCGGCCCTCACCCTGGGCTGTGGCCCTCACCCTGGGACTGCGGCCCTCATCCTGGGCTGTGACCCTCACCCTGGGACTGCGGCCCTCACCCTGGGCTGTGGCCCTCACCCTGGACTGCGGCCCTCACCCTGGGACTGCGGCCCTCACCCTGGACTGTGACCCTCATCCTGGGACTGCGGCCCTCACCCTGGGCAGCGGCCCTCACCCTGGGACTGCGGCCCTCACCCTGGGACTGTGGCCCTCACCCTGGGCTGTGGCCCTCACCCTGGGCTGTGGCCCTCACCCTGGGCTGCACTCTCTACAGGCTCAGGTCACTAACAGGGCCTGTGCCGACCACGCCCGGCCGTTTCTACCTCTGCCACGCTGCCTGTCTCTTCCCCACCGGTGAGGAAGCGTCTTTGAGATGGCCCAGACTTTACCCACGCGTGAATGTCTTCCCACAGGAGGTCGTCTGTCTTTTTAACCGATACGATGGTGAAGGGGAAACACGTGTGGAGCAGACAACGGTGGCCCCGCTACAGAGAGCCCAGGGCAGCTGAGGGCGACTCGAAGGCCTGGTGTCCAGCCAAGATCAACCTTCCCATGGGCAACAACCAAGTGCTGCACGAAACGGACGGCAACGATGCCCCCAAGATACTAAAACCAGGCAAGGGCAGATGCCAGTCCGGAGAGCTGGGACGGAAACCCAGGGCCCCGGCCTCAGGGACAGGGCTCAGGCAGAGCCGTGGTGTCCCCGAGGAGATGGAGACAAGTCCAGGAAGTCACTGCTCGACGTGCAGGGTGGTGACGCAGAGGGCACAGCTGCCGCGGGAGAGACTCCGGGATCCCGAGGCCTCCCCTTCCCGTGAGCGGAGCGGCCTCTGGACCCCGGGGTCTGCATCCGAGGAGTGACCCAATGGCTGAAGGCTCTTGAAAGAAGAAAACTGCGAGAGGCCTGAACAGGTGCAACCTTTTCATCCTCATTAACCCCGGACGATGCAGGCTAAGAGCTGTTAACCCAGCGCTATGCGTATCAGCCTCCTGGAGCTGACGTAAAGTCTACAGGGAGGTGCGTGGGCTCCGTGCCCTTGCAATGCTATTTTCCAGAAGGTTCTTGAGGCCCCGCAGATTCTGGTACCCAGGCTGGGTCCCGAGGATGCTGAGTGATGACTGTTCCCACCAGAGCACCGGGAAGACCGGTGGGGGCAGCGCTGGGAAGGGTGGAGGGAAAACACCTGGCGCTCACGCAGGGCGAGGGTCCTGCCTGCTCCCGCTGGCTCCTGTCCACCCTGTGTCCCAGAGTTAGGAGGGGACAACCACCAGCCCGCAACAACACCAGAGAGCCAAGAAGAGTCTTGTGTCTCTGTTATGGGAAAAACCAGCCCCAGGCGAAACCCTGCCCTGACTCCAGCGAGACCAGAAGCCTCAGGCTGTTCCTGACCCACCCAGCCGTCACCGGGATGAGCACGAGCGCCCAGGCCCCACCAGGTCGCGTCACAGAGCCGGAGTCCCAGGGACGACTCCCCGGTGGCTCAGCTGGACGCCGCGGCTGGGCGCTTACAAGCTGCCAGTGCTGACTGCTCACTTGTCTGGAGGCCAAGTTCAAGGCTCCGGAAGATTCTGTGCTTGGTGAGCGTCTCTCCCTGGCTCACAGGCAGCTGTCTTCCCACCGTGTCCTCGTGACTGGAGGGGTGAGGGGTCTTTTGGGGTCTCCAAGGCCATCACCTGGGGGCTCAGCTTCCACATAGGGACTCTGGAGAGACGCTACACATCCCGGCTACAGCACCACCTGTGCAAAGCAGCAGGAGCAGAACTCACAAGGGAAATAAACCACAGTCAAGCGCCACCGAGCAGGCAGTGACACAGACGACAGCGAGAGCAGACAGCGGAGACAGCCATCGTGCTGACTCTCCTCCACCAGCAAGAGGGAAGAGTGGCCACGGTCAGTAGTCACGAGGAAGAACCCAACAAAACTTCTGCACATAAAGCTGCTGTGTAACAGCTGACAACCACACTGAAAAAAGGCCAGAGATCCTGAAGACATAGCGGTGGGGACTATGCCGAGAGAGAGAGAGAGAGAGAGAGAGAGAGAGAGAGAGAGAGAGAGAGAGAGACCAAACAATAGAGACAGCACACCAGTTAGCGGAGGGGAGATTTCAGGCTACTACATGGGACAATCGGAGCTCTCAGGGGCGGAGAGGGGGGAGAGAGAGAGAAAATCCTTGAAGAAGCAATAACTGACATTTTCCCAGATTTAATGGGGAACCAGAAGCCCAGACCCAGGAGGTTCTAAGAACTCCCAGCACAAGGAACACGACGCGGAACACAGCAGCGACTGCTGAAACACAGCCCTAAGAGAGGGCGTTGGAGCGGAGAGAAAGCAGGAGGAAGCCGTGCACATGAGAGGGAAACCAGGCGTTCAGAGTCCACACTGGGACCCGTGCAAGAGAGACCACAGAGCGAGGACATCCATGACGCCAGGAGGCAGGGGAAGTCCCCGGCAGCCACAGGTCCACACTTGTAACCACAGGTCAGCACCTGCAACCACAGGTCCGCATCTGTACCACATGTCCACACCTGTAACCACAGGACCACACCTGTACCACAGCTCCACGCCTGTACACAGGACCACACCTGTACACAGGACCACACCTGTACCACAGCTCCACGCCTGTACACAGGAACACCTGTACACAGGACCACACCTATACACAGGACCACACCTGTAACCACAGGACCACACCTGTACACAGGACCACACCTGTACACAGCTCCACCCTGTACACAGGACCACACCTGTAACCACAGGACCACACCTATACACAGGTCCGCATCTGTACCACATGTCCACACCTGTAACCACAGGACCACACCTGTACCACAGCTCCACGCCTGTACACAGGACCACACCTGTACACAGGACCACACCTGTACCACAGCTCCACGCCTGTACACAGGACCACACCTGTACACAGGACCACACCTATACACAGGACCACACCTGTAACCACAGGACCACACCTGTACACAGGACCACACTGTACACAGGACCACACCTGTAACCACAGGTCCACACCTGTAACCACAGGTCCACACCTGTACACAGGACCACACCTGTACACAGGACCACACCTGTAACCACAGGTCCACACCTGTAACCACAGGTCCACACCTGTACACAGGACCACACCTGTACACAGGACCACACCTGTAACCACAGGTCCACACCTGTACACAGGACCACACCTGTACACAGGACCACACCTGTACACAGGACCACAACTGTACACAGGACCACACCTGTACACAGGTCCACACCTGTACACAGGACCACACCTGTACACAGGTCCACACCTGTACCACAGCTCCACACCTGTACACAGGTCCACACCTGTAACCACAGGACCACACCTGTACACAGGACCACACCTGTACCACAGGACCACACCTGTACCACAGCTCCACACCTGTACACAGGACCACACCTGTAACCACAGGACCACACCTGTACACAGGACCACACTGTACACAGGACCACACCTGTACACAGCTCCACACCTGTAACCACAGGTCCTCACCTGTACACAGGACCACACTGTACACAGGACCACACCTGTAACCACAGGACCACACCTGTAACCACAGGTCTACACCTGTACATAGGACCACACCTGTAACCACAGCTCCACACCTGTACAA